TGACTTTGTTTTGGTAGTATGTGAAAAAAATATAGGTCTTAGTATAGTGCTTAAAATATTTTAATACTTACGGAAGCTCTAAAATTAAGATATGTAACTGAGTCACATATTGGTGTTAGTATAACAAGAATTAAAAACAAACTACCAAAATACATTGGTTAAATTTAGAGGAAGTTCCTTTCTAGCCTTGTGATCTTGAGGGACTGCACAGGAAAGAAGTGGAGTCTCTGACATGATCAGGAAGGCAGATATCCTGCAGAGCCATATGAAAAATGAACGATTGCATTTAACATAAGGCACAAAGACGATGATGGGCTTTAGATAACTCTCCCAAAGTGAATAAAATATTTCACCTTTGCACAATGAGATTGTGTGTCCCTCTGTAGCAGACATGACTGCCACATCAAAGAAACTAGTGAAGACAGACATATTCAAGGTTGGCTAAACTGACACTCTAGTCAAACACCATGAAATCCCCACTTGTTTCAAGTTTCATCTGAGTTTTGCTTTTTTTTGAACAAAGACATGGCCTCATATTCTCTGACAATTTGTTTATAATGGTGGTGACAATGTAACACTCTCCAGTGTGTCCCTGAAATATATGACATAAGAATATAAATGCAAACATATGAAAAAAAAGCCCTCAGGTGGTTGTTAATTTTGGGTGCTGTGTAATTAAACTAGTTTTTTTAAATGTTATCTTTTGCCAGTATCTAATTAGCACAGCCATCTGCTGAAAGAGCAGTGGCCCATCTGCCTGGAATGTTGTTCTCTTCATTGTTATGAAAAGCATCCGCCACTGCTAGTCCCCATCTAATTAACTTCTCTTGCTGTGGAATGTGATAATACACAGCTTTGTTTATACACTTCTGAGAACTGTGGATTTATATGTGTGTAACAAGTACATAAAAAGAGACAATCTTTTTCTTTCCAACATCTGACTTACTCTTGAGATCACAGCTGCATTTGTCATGACTGGATCATGTCCCCTGCATTGTCTACAGCGAAACAATAGGAAGTTTCTCACATCCCTGGGTTTCTGTCGTTCTAAAAGCAGGGTTCTGGTGTCCTGTGTGCTTCTTGATAGATGTGACTGTAGCACCCGTGATTGGCCAAGTATTGAGAATACCCAAGCATTTCACTGGACATGAGATGCACCACCGTGAAGCTACTGTACCAGAAAAAGGGTACAGGCACTGCTATGTGATCTGATCAACCGTGCAGTAAATGGTCGATTTCAAAATCTGAAATGATTTTATTTCAAAATATTGGAAAAAATACCTTTTATTTCAAATTAATACTTGATGTGCACAAATATTATCTGTCTTCTTCCATCAAACATTGTCTAACAGAATGTATTATACTTAGTGGATATTTAGTAGATATGAAATGAAAAAGATTTCATGTAAGGAACTGTAGCAAAACCTTTAAACCCTATTTAATATCACAGAAAATATTTATGTGTCCTTATAGAAAAATGGGCTACATGTATGAATCTTTAGTCTTTATAAATGTAGACTGATTTATCTACAAAATCATTGATTCATTGAGTATTCAAGTAACCACTATTATTACTTTATGCTTGCCTCTGACATGTTCAATGAGCATTAAATGTTGAATAATAGAATATTCATGTTTCTTTTTTCCTCTACAGTAAAAAAGACAAAGGATAACAATAGATAAAGATTAATTTTTTAAAAATTAAGGAAGTAAGACTGAATTTTACTGGGATTGGAAGTGTACAACACCTTTTCATTTGTTTTGACTGCCAGAAAAATAGATTTGAGTTGGTATAAAAGTAGCTAGAATGAATGTGAAGATAAGTATATAGAACACTTCCTAAGTCAATTGTGGGTTTTGCTCCAAAATAATGATACACGTACAAATAACCAGTTTCAGTGAGACTAGATATAAAGTTTGAGTCGAAGGCCTTTCATTGACAAGGATAGGTCCTTACAATAAAGGGCATTGTAAAGGAGCTCAAAAGAAAGCTGAGCTTGAACAAAAGAGTAGAAACTTTGAGAAGTCAAATCTAATACAGGAAAATTCCCTTAACCCCTGTGGTTTTCTCCTGTGGAAACATGTTTTCATAACTGCCAGAAGATCCACAGAGCAAAGTCTAGTTTGGTGAATAAAAGGAAAATTTTGTTAGATTAATCCAGAACTCTTAATTTTCTTGTAAATCTAGAAAAGTCTCTTTTACCAACTTCGGTTCTTATACAGCTCTGCAGTACCTAACAATATGTTTCCCTCACTTTCTTCTCGTGGTACACTCCCACCATTTGTATATAATTTCTTTTCCTTCTATTCATGAATAATGTGAAACCATAGAAAGCTAAACAGTCATGATTTTAAATTAATTCTGGATTTGAATATGGTTGTCGTGCTGGTGATACAGAGATAAAATACCTCCAGGAGTTCCCTCCTCCACTTCAAATAAGAGCAAAGTTAGAGTGTTTTACTACTGATCTAATAAACTTGTGTGAGCAGTTGCTGTTTCTCAGTATTCTGGACAAAGTAATAAAATATTTATGAAAACTCATTCTCTTTTTTTCTATTTCTTTTCACTCCTGGTCCTTGGCCAATATTTATCTTGAAAATGTGAAGGCTACTTGAGCACCAGGTAGAACTGGAAAGCTGTTTGTTTACTGGCAGCAGCAGTAAGATCTAGCAATGTAATGGCATTTGATTAATATTCTCCTTTAATCCTGGTGCTTACCCTGCTGCCCAGACCTCTTATGTTTATTCAGGAAACTATTAATATTTTACTTTTTTCTTGCATTATTTGGCATTGAATCTCAGGTCTCCCACTTGGTAGGCTACAGCTCCATCCTCAGCTTTCTGTTTTATGGTCCCACTGGGTCACCCAGGCTGAGCATAACTCCTCTACAATCCAGGCAGGCTTAAAACTCATGACCCTTCCTTTCTAATGTATATCAGCATTTAAGTCTATGTGTCTTTGGGTGTGCACATGCATTATATGTATGCAGGTATACTTATATATGTATATACATATGAGTGCTTGTGTGTGTGTGTGTGTGTGTGTGTGTGTGTGTAGTCAACTTTGGGTATCATTTCTCTGGTGCTACCTACCTTGGTGGGTTCTGTTTCTTTTTCAACATGATCTCTCACTTGCCTGAAACTCATAGATGAGGCTAGAGCATCTGGGCAGCAAGCTCCAGGGTCCTTTGTGTCTCCACTGCCTCAGAACTGGGCTTGTTAAGCAGTTTTGAAATGGGACTGAAGCTCAGGTCCTCCTGCCTTCACACAAACCACCTTACTACTGTAGCTGTGTCTCCATTCCCCAATATTGAACTTTTAACAGTATCACCAAGTCAACTAGAGCCATTGAGAGCACCTCCTCAGCTGAAGAGTTTCATTGTACAGATGTGCTCATACCTGTGTGACTGTAACCCCTCTTTCTGTTAAATGACGTCAACCCGCTTGGTAACATAAGCTTAAATTGTAATGAATTCTTTGTTGCTGAAGGGATGTATCGTTGTGTCAATCTGTTTTACATTTAAATATTAGCAAAGATACAACAGGGATTTTTTTTATAGATTTAAGAACGGAACATATTAAAGGTCAGACATGATTAACAGTGAGTATATTTTCATGTTTTGAATCTGCGTGTCACAGTGCTGTGTGTGAAGCTCTTTGCTTTTCATGGGAATACTTGCCATCCTGGAAGGCAGTTATTTGCATCAGACATGGATTAGCTGTATCTTCACTGCCCCCAACAAACATTGACCCAGGAAAGAGTAACAAAATTAACACATTCTCTTATTGAGGTTGATTCTGATCAAATTCTCAGTTCCACACAATCATAAAGAGACATGGCATTGTTCATATTGGAGGAACACCAGGATGGTTCTCTGTGGATAATTTTCTCATGGTCTCATGTTTGTCAAGAGGGGTTAGGTATCCGGCACACAGTTGGTATACCTTCCTCTCTTATGTAGCAGTGATTAGTGACAGTGACCTGACTGCATGTTCTTCTACATCTTGGAGAATTGGGAAACATCTCTGCCTGGGGCCTGGGGGAGAATAGAGACAGTATTTTCCTGCATATTATTTTACTTTGGTTGATATTGGTTTTAGTTTAGTTTATTATTTGACATTTTTTGACCTAACAAGATTGCTCCTCACGTTTTCCTGATAATAACTTCACTAGTCCATAACTCTGAACCTTCAGAAATCTAATTTTAGTTGTTAGAAAAATATTACAAGAAAAGAAGATATTAAAAAATAGGAGAAGTACTTTCCATTTAAAGGTCTATACACCACCAAGTAGTAGAAAAGAACAATACTTGCACGCTTGAACTGGTGTTAAACGACTTGCAGACATAGCTTGTGAATCACCGCTGTCTGTGAAACGGGCGCCATCATCTTCCATGTTGCAGGTTTGTTCTCTTTGTGACTTGATGTGTTAATGCATTTGTCAACTTGATCAGCGTGAGTTCGGTTTGAGAAGTTTGAAAACCGTTAAACACCGTGGCTCCAAATAGAGCTAGCAGCTGTGTGGAGGCGGGAAATCGTCACCGTGCTCTCTGCGCATGAACCAACCCTACCCTAGCTGTCACGTCCATGTATATTGTGGTAGTTAGAATATGTTGAGTCATCCCTGGCATTACCCAGGAGTGTTGATGCATGACACACTGTGGGTCTGAATGATTCAGATCATTCTGTTTCATGGTCTCCTAGGCTGGGTGCTTATCCTGGTTTCCCTCAAGTAATCCATCTTGCTTACCAGTAACTACATCTGAATGTCCTGCTATTTTGACTATGAAGCAGTTTTTTTAGAGGACATGTCTTCTAAATGTCTTAATTTTAAAGTGAAATGTCAGCCCATGACTTGATATCCCGTATGTGGTGTTAATTCTATACCACAGTGAAGATGTTGGGTCGAGGATGCGCCAATGATCGAATATAGCCACATGGACCTTCCTGTTTCCCCTTTTCCTCAAAGCCCTAAAGGTTTGCGTTTGTTCTCTCTGCAGGCTGTGGAGTGGGAGTGTGATGAAGCTACCAAGAAGGCCTGTTACAGCAAAGGCAAATCGAAGGTGAGGAGAGCAGACTTTGCAGGTGCCCCAGCCCTAGCTGGGCATTGTGTGTAAAAGATTAGATTCCTGATAGGAGGGCTCCCTGCAAAGGGAGATAGATGCACCATGCTTTAACATTTAGTGAAAAATGAGTCCCAGAAAACAATCATTTCACGAAGGGTCAGAAAACAAAGACTTAATCTGTACTTTGAATCATTACATAAGATTGAAAATAAACCAGTTATGACATTGTTAGAAAAATATAGGAAATAATTTTAAAACAGTATTTAGTGTGCCTCTTCTATATTCTGTAGTTAACTACAGAGAGTAGTTAAGTTGTTGTATTGTCTTTTTTTGCCGTACCAGAGATGCACCCAGGGCCTTGTACATACTAATCAAATATTCATCCCTTGCCCAATAAAATCACTGCATCAGAATTATATGAGATGTATTCTTGATGGTCTTAGCATATGCTTGTGATTTGCTCTATTTCTGTCAATGGTGAAAACTGCACTCCCAAATGAGCACTGATAGTTGAGGATGGGGGTACACTCTAGTGCTCACACACAGACCTTTTACACTACTTGGGATTGGCAACACACCCAGGACTTTATGTTTCCAGGAACTCTGCTGTCTTTAGGTGTCCTTTGTTCCCCGGGGAAATACCCTTGCAGCTGCTCCACAGTTGAGTGAGCATTGGAAAAGTCTTCATGCCAGCAGAGACAGAAAGCACTGGCAGAAAGAGGAGCATGTAGACTTTCCCAATGCTGACTGCACTCGGTCCGTGGGGAAATGCTGCTGTGTGCAGAGGGTTGGAGGAGGCTGGCTGAGCAGCATTGGCCTCAGGGCCGAGAGCATGTGGAACAATACAGCAAATGGAGTGAGCAGTGGCAAGGGGCCCTCATCCGTGTGTCGATAACGAATATGATGGTTTGTCTTTTCCTCGGGTTATAGAGCTTGCTCCCTGCCCCTTAGGAGAATGGTTCTGAGAATTGGGTGATAATGTAGATCTCAGAAGTGTCGAAGGAAAGAGGTGGTAATAAATCATAAACTTAGCTAAGCTGAAATACATGGATACAGAAAGGAAGGGAGGGGCGAGAGATAGAGTGAGAAGAAGAAGGGAGTAGAAGAGAGGATGCAGAAATTGATAGACAATTTTTACCAAACGATATTTAATCATCAGAAATACCTCTGAGCTAAATCATTAAAAATTTACCAAACTATACTGGCAGCTCCAGGTTGCAAAGAACCAGCATATGAAATACTCCCAAATAAAATAAGTGTATAATGGTATAAATAAAAAAATACCAGAGAACTCTCTAACTCGCTTGGCGAGTTCTGTAAAACAAATAGCAATGTTTGGAGCTATGGCTTCTCCATGGCCATTGCCTCTCAGTGATGCTGAGACTCAATGCACTGGGTGCCTGACAACACTCTTACATATCTCAACCAGCCAGGAATTCATAATACTCACCAGACTCTTGTGTGATTTTTTTCACGAACAGACATCTGTTCACCCTAGACAGCCAGGCATCAGTGGACAGAAGAAATGACTCCACTCAAATTGTACTTGGTGAACCAGTACATTTATTGAGGTTCCCTTCAGGAGCATGAGTGGGAAGTTACTGACGAGTGAGGAGTCATGAATGGGGAAGGTTGCAAGCTCGAGGAGATAGGTACCTCTTCCTGATGCCCCTATAGGATTCCCTAAAACCCCCCATCCTGAGCAGTAAATGAGGGAGGCAAGTTACATGGGGTGGGGATAATTATAGTGAAATAGCAAGATTCACTGCTCACGGGTGGACACACTGGACTCTGTTCCAGGGCTTCACCTTTAACACGGTGCTTGGCCTGGCGACATAGTTGCCTTCCAGAAAGCCTGGACACTGGCTGGTCCCCTGGCCACTCTTTCTCCTCTTTTGGGCGGCCCCTCTCCTCTTCTCCCCATTTTTTTTCTTTCACTTTGCTTTTGGTGAGTTTCTCTTACTTCTTTTCTTATTTCCTGTGACTTGTAGTTGCACTGGTAAGCAGATACCCTACAATAGGGTGTGTTGACCCTTCTCACAAAATCGATGTCTATAAATTTGGCTTTTGTTTTAGTCTGGGCTAAACTCAGACCTGAGAGCTGTCCCCTGATGCTGTCCTCATTGTTCATGAGAATCTCATTCTCTCTTCTGAAACCACTATTTGCATGACCACTGTTCCCAGCATGCCTTGCTCAGCTCTTAGGACACAGCTGATGTGTTCTGACCCTCGTTCCATCGTTTATCAGTCTTGGAAAGCCCCTGTAGCCATCTGTCTTTGCCCTGCCATGCTATGCTAATTATCCAGCCCTGGACCATGAGCTATGCCGATGGCTTCTTTATGGTTACAGTTCTCCATGAAGCCCTTTGGCACACCAGGTAGAGGCTGGCGGTACTGTATAAGTGAATGAACACACTAAACTCACTCCAGTAGATCTGATTCGGTTGATCATCCTCACCACTTTTGATGGTGGGGACAAGATATTTTTTTAAGGGGACATTCTTTCTTTCACACAGTAGGTTTAGCAGCTTACCAGCCTCTGCCCACCATGGCATCACAACCCAAAATAACGAAATTTGCTCCAGACAAATTTCCAGGGAGTTGGTGATTTAACTTATCAAATGATACATGAATTGGCAATTTTTTTCATTGTTCATTTTTTTCAATTGTTCATTTTTTCAATCCCTGTGAGTATTTTTGTATTTCACCAGGAAGCTCTTTACATATTTGGTTCCCAAACTTTTAAAAAATGCTAATAGTTAATTCTATTCCCCTTCCTGGACTTCCGGCTCTTTGTGGTTCTTGTAAGTTAGATGAGAACATTAAGACCTGCTCAGCCATCCAAAGGTTTCTCTGCAGCATAGTCTATAGGCCCTTAATCAAAGCATCCAGGTGGTTCTCATTTCCTAGTGCATTATTACTACTAGGTAGATTGCTCAGCCAAACCATCAACCCACCTCTCACCTCAAGCTGTGATTTTTAGTTAATTTTGCATTTAGAAATTAATTTGATAGATTAGTATCATCCATGCCTAGTATGTAATATACCCCTGATCCAATGGAGGGAAAAATGGTCAATATACTAAATTGAATTTTTCTAATACAAATAAGGAAAATGAGCAAACAAATGTACTCACATCAAATCATCCCTTTATAGTTCATATGATTTGTGTTTTTTTTTTTTTTTTTTTTTTTGGTTTTTTGAGACAGGGTTTCTCTGTGTAGCTTTGCGCCTTTCCTGGAACTCGCTTTGGAGACCAGGCTGGCCTCGAACTCACAGAGATCCGCCTGGCTCTGCCTCCCGAGTGCTGGGATTAAAGGCGTGTGCCACCACCACCCGGCTGATTTGTGTTTTTAATGGACTAAGAATAAAGGCAAATCTTGGTAATTATAAATTAATTCCAACTGGGTGTGTTGGATTTTAAGATTAAATTATTAAAACAAATAATAAATTTCAAACACCATATATTATGTGCAAGATAAATCAAATTTTATTTTAGGTTGCCTTAAGTATAACGATAAATTAACCTAGAGTTTTGAAAAGCAGTGTTCCATTGAAATAGGATTTAGTTGATGTAGCTGCTTGTTGAGTTGATGTTTGCTTATGATTCTATTCCTAGAGAGGCTGAGTCAGGAGAACCACTAGAGTCCCAGAGATTGAGGACAGTTTGGTGTAACAGTGAGACCCTATCTCAAAAACAAAACAGAGCAAAACAAAAGATCAGAAACTGTTCACAGTGGGCACTCATGTTTACAAAATGTGTTGGTAACTTCACTACCATGTTAGAGCAGGTAACACTTGTAGTTTGGTCCAGGCGGTGAGAGCACATGATGCCTAATCCCTACAGCCCCCAGAAGTCCTCTTTCCTTAGTTCCCATCTCTTTTTCTTCCCTCAAATGAGCACTGGCATGTTTACCATCCACCAAGGAATCCAAGTCCAGCACCTGGGACACATAAAAGAGAACAAGATGGCCCCTGAGAAAGCACATCAAGAGTGGTGGCAATGGGCAGGCCCTGAATTCAGATTTCAGACATCCCAAAGATTCCCCAGGCTGACAGCTCCGAGAATCCAAATCAAGGAACATTTCAATTTGTCTAGAATATAGTGTCTCTTTGGAGGAATGGAATTCATGCTTTTCATAGTGGTCATGAATTTATAAGGAAAATTCAAATAGTTAATAAATTTGCTTGTGCTGTAGTATTCTGAGAATGTGCACAGAATGACAAAATCCCCCTTCTCCCTGCAATAAAAAGAACAATGCAAAAATGTGACATTTTAAAAATGCAAACAATTCAGGCATTTCAACTGAACTCAGTTCTTTGCTCCTATCCCCAAAAGTTGTGTGTACTCTACAGTACAATGTGATGGGTGGAAGGAGGTGGCTGAGCCTGTAGCGGGGCTACTGCCTGCACCCACTTCTTTAGTGAGGACATTCCTCAACTGGCTGCAGAGCTCAGTATAATAAATATGACAACTTTCCTCCCCTGGTGTTACTGGGTCAAGTGCAAGCATCCTTTCATGTGGTGGGAGCATGAAATTTATAACCTAGGGAGTCAAGGCCACAAGAAGTTACCCAAATCTTTAATTAAGGCTTGCAAGGAAAGTAGGTACTGAGATTGTGGATCCTGAATAAGGTCTGAGTTTTAATTTATTTCTAGATGTTTCTGTTCACTGTGACTAAAATGCCGTAAGTATCTACATGCATTAAAGCCAGAGAAAGAATCCATTTTTATTGATGCAAAGACAGTATAACAAGATCCATTACATTTCATTGTCTGAAATATGTGTTATTGAAATCAAACTCTAGAAGACTTTAAATACATTTCACATAAATATTATTTTAGACACAAATAGCTAATTGTCTCAGCATCTAACAAGAGAGCTTGTCTGTTGTTGGTTCTTCTGTCTGGACTCAGCTGCCTCCCCCATGGCATTTAGGAACCACACAAAGGAAACAAAAGTAATTATTAAGGGAATGAAAGAGTTGCTTTGTGCT